GCCCTTGCCCATGTGCTCTAGCCCTTTGCTGCCCTCGTTGCCCTTGGCTGGACTCTCTCCAGTGCCTCAATGGCCTTTGGGCAGTGAGTGCCCAAAGCTGAGCACAGCACTGAGCTGGGACCTCCCCAGTGCCCAGTGCAGGGGGATGACACTGCCCTAGTGCTGCTGCCACACTGGGCTTGAGCCAGGCCAAGGGGTCCTTGGCCTCCTTGGCCACCTGTGCACACTGTTGGCTCCCACTGAGCTGTGCCACCAGCACTGCCAAGTCCCTTTGGGACCAACACCTCTCCAGCCTCTCCTGCCCCAGCATGGGCAGGACCAGCACTTCTCAGATCAGCATCATCACCTCTTAGACTCCTAAGCCTGGAGGGGCTTTCACACCCATCAGAGCTTTCACAGCAACTCCTGAATTCATTAGCCCTGTATCACCCAGAGAGGAGTGGCTCTGGAAATTAGGAATGCAAGCACATCCCTGGACTGCTGAAGGGAGCCCTTCTGTCCTCAGGAGGCTGCAATTACATGGAACACAAATAGGACTTCTGATTTGAAGGTTTTCAGCAGTGACACTCAATTAATATGATTCATTAGTGCTAATTGACTATAATGGGAAGGTTTAAAATAACAGTTGCTCTTTGAGAATCTTGCAAGCAATATTTCACAGCTACTTTCCTCCTTCCCTGGCTAGCTTTGATCCTAGAATCCCACAGAATGGTTTGGGGTGGAAGGGACATCAAAGTCCATCTCGGTCCCCCCCCTGCCATGGGCAGGGACACCTTGCCCCAGCCCAGGTTGCTCTAGGCTCTGTCCAGCCTGGCCTGGAACACTCCCAGGGATGGGACATCCTCTGGGAAATCCACTCCAGTGCCTCAGCACCCTCACAGGGAACAATTGTCAGTGGGAAGCCACTCCCTGTGTCCTGTCCCTCCAGGCTCTTGTCCCAAGTTCCTCTGCAGCTCTCTTGGAGCCCTTTTAGGCACTGGAAGGAGCTCTAAGGTCTCCCTGGAGCTTTCTCGTCCCAGGCTGAACCCTCCCAGCTCTCCCAGCCTGGCTCCATGGCAGAGCTGCTCCAGCCCTTGGAACATCTCAGTGGCTTTAGAGATTTGCAGTAGCTCCACCAATGGGTGGTACAAGAGCAGAGAGAGATTTCAGTTAATCACTTGTTTAAAGTGAGTTCCTGGCATGAGAGATTTCTCCAGCACTCCCCCATGGGAACAGCCTCCCCCTCCTGCTGCTCACACCATGCCAACACTTTTCCCTTGGGATGGCTACTGCAAAGTCCCTGACTGGGCTCTCTTTTGGCCATGCCCTGTCTTGGAAAGGTCACAGCAAAGTACAGCATGTCTCTGCCTGGTGGAAAGGTTGTTCTCAAGAGATGGAGAAGAGCCAGGAGTTGACGAAGATTGAAAGGAAGAAAGGATCCCTTAGGGCAGAGCAGCACCTTGTCAGCCAGGTCAGCAAACCTCTGGATGTTTTTTCTGCATGGCCCAGGAGAGCCTTTGTCCATCCCTGTGCATGTCAGGAAGGCATTGTGCAAAGGGACACAGGCTGGCAGTGCCACAGGGCTCTTCATTTCTCCTATGTCCTCATCCCCTGACTGCCAAGGTAACCACACCAGGCCTGAGCCAGAAGCCAAACTCAAAAGAGCAGGGTCTTGCTGCACTGGGGAGCACAGGGCTTTGGGACTGGTTAACCAGTGGGACATCTCAGCTACCTCCTACATGTTCTCTGCTGGCAAGTTGAGCCATGGTCAGTTCAGGTCAGGGACAGTCACATCAGGTCTCCAAGTCACTTGTCCCAGGATGGTGGCACAAGCCTTGCAGCCCCATCAGCATTGCCTCCAAAACAGAGTGGCCACATCCAGACCCCTCTGGGAATGCTAATGCCCAAGCTGTGCTCAGCATTTCAGTAGTTTGATAGATGGTCTGAGCCACACATTGGTGATTGTGGGTGGCTCCTGCAGGTTGAGAGGTTGGTGACACTGCCTGCAAATGCCCCAGCACAGCTTCATTAACCAGCATGGTGACACCCCAGGTTGCACAGTGCATGGAACAGCATTTCCAAGCTTCAATATCACAGTTTCATAATATGTTAAGGGGTTGGAATGGAGCTTAGAGATGATCCAGCCCCAACCCCCTGCCCTGGGCAGGGACAACTCCCACCAGAGCAGGTTGCTCAAGGCTTTAGCCAACCTGGCTCTGAACACTGCCAGGGTTGGGGCAGCCACAGCCTCCCTGGGCAACCTGGGACAGTGTCTCATCACCCTCACAGGGAAAACTTCTGCCTAAGATCTCATCTCAATTTCCCCATTCAATTTCTCCCCATTGCCCCATGTCCTGTCCCTGCAGTTCCTAACCAAGAGTCTCTCTGCAGCTTCCCTGGAGCACCTGCAGATCCTGGAAAGAGATATCCAAACCCTGAGACTTAAAGCACCTCAGAGGTGTCAGCAGCCAGTGTTGCCTGATGGGCACAGTGTCCCCAGCCCTGGCACCCCCTGAACCATGAGGGGCTGCAGCTACAGCAGAGCCAACCCTGTCCCACCACAGGGAAATGCACTCAGTGGTTTTAGTGCACTGTTCAGGTTCATGGCTGGACTTGATGATCTTAGAGGTCTCCTCCAACCTTGATGATTCTATGGAACCCTCATCACTCCCAGGTGCTGAGCTGGGCCACAGGAGCTGAGCTGACAGGGGAGACAGAGCTGTCCTTCCTCCCCCAGAGGCTGCTGCACTGTGCTGGTCCAGCTCAAGGTCCCCTGGGGCTATGTGAGCTTTTACAAGCATCCCTGGCAGCTATTCTGGCCTCCACTTGTGTAGGCATCACTGGCAGCTCGGCAGGTCTGCACTGGTGTTTCCCCACAGCTCCTGGGGGCTGAGACAACTCCTCAGCTCTCCAGAGCTGCCTGTACCCTGGGGGAGCAGAGAGTCACCAGCCCTGGAGTCACCAGCCCTGGAGGGGTTTAAGAGGTGTCAGGATCTGGTGCTGGAGGATCTGGTTTAGGGTTTAAGGGTTACAGGACAGTGGCAGCTAATGATTGGACTTGATGATCTTAGAGGTCTCCTCCAGCCTTGATGATTCTATGATTTTCTGACTTGCTGTGCAGGAGAAAGGATGTGACTGCCCATGGCCCAGGAACCAGCCCCTTTCCCATTAAAGTCTGTGCTGGACTTGCTCTCTGCAGGGGCCTGGCTTGATAAGCACTGTTTGTTGTTCCTGAGCTAACATTCCCTGGCTCACAGCTCCAGGACTTGTTCAGCTGATGTTCCCTTTACAAAAATAACCCCAGAGCTCAAGTTTGTTTTAACCCATTGGCAACAACCCCTTGTGGGCTGTGGCTGAATGAATCCCAGGGAAAGGGTAGCAGAATTGGGGTGAGACAGGGGGGTAAAACAGCAAAATAACTGGTAAAAGTCAGCCACAAGAGCTGCTTTCTTACTGGGATTGTTGGGAAGGCAGCCAGGAAGGGGCAGTGGTGTCCTGACCATCCTTCAGGGCAATGCCAACAGAACCACCACTCTGCTCTGTGGCACCAAGTGTTAGATCCAGGAATGAATTCCCTTGGACAGACCTGTGCTCCCACAGCCTTTTCCCTCTAGAGCTGTGCAGTAAATGACCTACTGAATGCAAATTCCCCCAAATTTCATAGGGACTTGAGCTCTGCTGCCCCTAAAGCTTCTTCCTCTCCCTAAAGCTTCTTCCCCATCATTCCTGAGCTGAGAACTCAAGGTCTTGCTGAAGGAAACAGAATTGCAATGGTCAAAACATCTAAGTGTTCCCTGAGGACACATAACCCAACCTTTCAGAGCTGCTGGAGAGCAGCCTCCAATAATGAAGGTAAAATAGCTTTTTCTAGCTCAAACAGCTAAGTATGTATAAGACTTCTCTGTGTGTCTTCCTTGTGTGGTGAGACACTGGCACAGGTTGCCCAGGGAGGCTGTGGCTGCCCCAACCCTGGCAGTGTTCACAGCCAGGTTGGCTAAAGCCTTGAGCAACCTGCTCTGGTGGGAGGTGTCCTTGCCCAGGGCAGGGGGTTGGGGCTGGATGATCTCATTTTGCTGCTTCAGAGACTCCCTCTACAGGGAGGGAGCCCTCCAGAACTCCCTGCTAGAGGGACACAAAACCACCAAGAAGCACCTAAAAGCCTTCTCATGCCACAGATTCATTATTTATGATGATGTGCAGAGCCCACACACACAGTGCACTGCCACAGATGCTCTCTACCCATCCCTGTCCTCTTCCTCTGCCTGCACCAGCCAAAACACTTCAGATGGACAGAATCATCAAGGCTGGAAAAGACCTCTAAGATCATCAAGTTCAACCATCAACACAGCACCATCACCATGTTCACCACTGATGCACAGCCCTCAGCAAGAAGACACAGGCCTGTCCCATGGATGCAACCACCCATGCACACAGATATCCCCCCTGGGTGCTGGAAGGATCCTGGGGGGAACAAAGCTGCTCCACATCTTTGGAAGGATGATCTGTGAAGCACAGGTCCTGCCTGGATGGACACTGCCCTCTCCACACCTCCTGCCTGGATGGACATCATCCTTTCCACACCTCCTGCCTGGATGGATGGATGGATGGATGGATGGACACTTCCCTCTCCCACCTCCTCAATGGATGGATGGATGGATGGATGGACACTTCCCTCTCCCACCTCCTCAATGGATGGATGGATGGATGGATGGACACTTCCCTCTCCCACCTCCTCAATGGATGGATGGATGGATGGATGGATGGATGGATGGATGGATGGATGGATGGATGGATGGATGGATGGATGGATGGATGGATGGATGGATGGATGGATGGATGGATGGATGGATGGATGGATGGATGGATGGATGGATGGATGGATGGATACTTCCCTCTCCCACCTCCTCAATGGATGGATGGATGGATGGACAGATGGACACTGTCCTCTCCACACCTCTTGCTTGGATGGACATTGCCCTCTTTCAGCATCAAGAACAGGTTTATAATGTGAAAGACTTTACCTTCTTCGGCTTCCAGATCCACCAGTGAAGATACCACCACGCCCATCTCCTGACATTTTTTGCTGTGGGCCTTTGACTTCATGTGTTTAGTCAGATTCCCTGAAAAGAAGCAGAAAACATAGTTCAGTCAAATATGCTTTTTTTTTTTTTTTTCAGAAAAAAACTTTATTTTTATTTTATCTCCCTTTTTCAAGCTCAGCAGTTTCAAGTCAAACCTGGCTCTGAACCAGACAAAGCTCCTGACTCTCCCCAAGCCACTGTCCATTAGGAATACTCTGGGACACAAGGCCAAGCCCTTCCTTTCATCCCTTTGCTGCTGCACTGGGGTGCAAGAGGAGGTGCTGGCAGGGTTGTGTGACCTTGCAGGTGTTGTGCAACCTGAAAAACCTCTTAGGGCACACATTTGGGTTTGAGGGAGAGGAAGGAAAGTCCTGCATTGCTTCCAGCTGTGATGGTGCAGCAAAGAAAATTGGTAGGAAAGTAGGGAAGGGAAACCCATCTCAATGTAGCATCACCTCTAACCTCATCCTTGATGATCTTAAGGGACTTGATGATCTTAAAGGTCTCCTCCAACCTTTGATTCTATGCTTCTATCCCAGCACTCAGACCCACCTGCCTGGAGGTGAGAAGTTCCTCAGCACCATAGGTTCTACCCTGGGGGTGTAAAAAACACATGGACATGTGGCATTTGGGAACATGGGTTTAGTGGTGGCCTTGGTAGTGCAGGGGGAATGGTTGGACAACCTTGGTAGTGCAGGGGGAATGGTTGGACTCAATGATCTCAGAGGGTTTTCCAAGCTTAATGATTCTATGATTCTACAATAAAATGAAGGTTTAAGTTGAAGGAAAAATCCTACAATCTTTTTTTTTTCTCTCAGCAGGATGGCTCAGGTGCACCAAAAGTGCCAGGCAGAAGTTCTTAGCTCCCTGGAGCAGGAGGAGTCATAGATATCCTCTGGAATAGCACTGAGGAAACCTGTACTAACAAGGTTTCCTCAGGGCCAGAGTGGGAAAAGCAGCCCCTGGGAGAGGGAAAATGGGATGTGGAGGCTTTGGTCTGAGCTCTGGGACAGTGGGAGGGGATAATTCATGGGCATCAAGGCCTTACAGGGCACCTCTCTAATTCTACCTCCCAAATTACAGGCAGGTTAATTAGCCACTTATTAACCCTACTGATAGCCAAGGGAAATGCTGAACAAAGGGGAACAGTGGTTGAAGGGGAAAAAAAGTAGGCAGGTGGAACAGAGAGAGGAATAAAAGGGAGCAGAAATAAAGGAAAACTGTCCCATTTTCCCCTTTCCTCTCCTGCACAGACTTTTTATAGAATCAATTATGGGTTGGGTTGGAAGGACCTTAAAGCTCATCCCATTCCACTCCTTGCCATGGGCAGGGACACCTTCCACCAGCCCAGGTTGCTCCAAGCCCTGTCCAACCTGGCCTGGAACACTTCCAGGGATGGGGTTTAATGGGCTGAATGATGATGAGAAGAAATCTGGGCCCTGCTGAAACTCCACCAAGGGCTGTTTAACTTCCTAGCCCAGGAGCTGGCTGAGCACTCCCCATTGCCTGCAGCAATAGGATATACCATCAGCATTCCTGGGAGCTGACACTTGAGGGAGTGAGGAACCAAAAGAGAAAAAAACAGGGGGGAAATAAATTCTCCTACTTTATTACAACTTTCAGCTGAAGATCCAGGGAAGTGGTGGAGTCACCAGCCCTGGAGGTGTTTAAGAGGTGTCTGGAGGCACTGGAGGATCTGGTTTAGGGTTTAGGGGTTTCAGCAGTGACAGGTTAAGGGTTGGACTTGATCATCTTAGAGATCTCTTCCAACCTTGATGGTTCTATGACAGGTCCCTCAGCTGATATCCTGCAATCCACAGAGTTCCCTGGTCCCTGAGCTGGTGGAAGCACAGAAAGCCTCGATCAACATCTCCTCCCTCTGCTCCAGAGAGGATAAATAACTAAGCAACTATTCCTTGGAGCAGAGAATCACCCATGACCCCTCACACCTCAGCAGAGTGCAATAACCATCTAGCTACCATCTTAATTTTACTTTAACCCATGAATTGTTTATTTAGCCCATTTTATACAAAATGGAATAGCTCCAACAGGGAACACCAAGAGAAACAAAGGCTGACTTGATATCCTTGTGTATCTGGGACCCAACCTGGATTCAAGGGATATTTAATAACTTAAATGCAGCAAAACAGCTCCAATAAGAGAGGTTTATTCAACTTCATGCTTAAATACCCTTAGCCCTGGGGTTAGGACACTAAGGTGTGAGGATAAAACCAGCTTGGCTCAGACCTTGGTCTGATCAGAGCTCTCTTTGGACCAGGAGTTTTGCTGTGGACTCAAACACACCCAGTGAGACAAGAGCATGTTCTCCTGGACACCTCTGGTTCCAGTGAATCCTCATTGTTCTACAATGAAAAACTGTTGCACCAAAAAGTCTCCACTGAGTCCAAATTGTGGTCTCATGGAAGTGGAATTTCAGTTTGGACCTAACTAGCAAGAAAAACTGCCTCAGTGTGTTGAAATCAACCCCTGCTGCTGCTGTGGCCTGTCCATCACATCTGGGCTGGCACTAATGACCCATCTCTGCCCAGTTACCACAGCAAAATCCCTGCTGGATTCCCTCCAAGGCCAATAAAGAGCCAATCAGCCCCAGCAATGCCTGGTGTGAGCAGGGGGTTGTGGCTAATCTGTGGTCTGAGGAACTCAGCTGAGATGCCCAAGGTGGGATGAGTGGGGAGGGGATGTCCCCCAGGCAGTTTGGTGCTACCACATCCCAAAACAAGCTCAGAATTCACTGTGCTCCATGCATGTGGCTTTGGCCATACCAGGAGGGCTTGGGATTGATTACTTTGGAGGGGAATCTGCTGAATGCAATGTTCTGGGCAAGGCTGCAGCCACCCTGTGCTGGAGGGCAGGACTCTGGGCCTCAGTGGCATTCAGTGGCCACTGTGGCTAAAACCTCAGCTGTCTGAAAGCTGATTGTACACACAGATCCACTGCTGCCTCAGCTCCTGTGCTGTTCACAGCACACACACTGTCCCTTTGCTGCTGCAGGACATGGGCAGGGATAGGGAGCCCACCCAGCAGCTCCCACAGTCCTCCACCCATCACCTCACTGTACCTCTGCTTTGCCTCAGCTTCTCCCCAAGCAACAGTTGGGCTTGAGAAGCTCTACCAGAAACCACCAGTGGCACTTCCACTTCCACTTTTCTTCCACTGCAACCAACTGGCCTTGTGCAGGGCAATGCATGGCTGCTCTCCCTCCTTCCCACCCTCTGGGATGAGGCTGGAGGCACAGCACAGGCAGTGCCAATGAGTTCATGCAAAGGACAAACTCAGAGCAAGTGTTCCTTGCCTTCCCCTTCTCATTTTTGTTACTCTGCTTTCTGTACATTGTGTGTTAAGAGGTTGGAATGGAGCTTAGAGATCATCCAGCCCCAACTCCCTGCCCTGGGCAGGGACACCTCCCACCACACAGTGAACACTGCCAGGGTTGGGGCAGCCACAGCCTCCCTGGGCAACCTGGGACAGTGTCTCATCACCCTCACAAGGAAAACTTCTGCCTGATATCTAATTAAAATTTTCCTTTCAATTTCTCTCCATTGCTCCTTGTTCTGTCCCTGCAGTTCCTAACCAAGAGTCTCTGCAGCTTCCCTGGAGCCCCTTCAGCTCCTGGCAGGTTGCTCTGAGTTCTCCACACAACCTTCTCTTCTCCAGGCTGAACAGCCCCAACTCACTCAGCCTGTCCTCATAGGGAAGATGCTCCAGTGCTCTGATCAGCTTCGTGGCCTCTTCTGGCCTTGCTCCAACAGTTCCATGTCTTTCTGATCTTGGGGACACCAGAACTTCACCCTCCCTTGGTTAGAGCAGGCAAGACCCACACACTGACAAAGAAGCTCAACCTGCAGAGCTCTGAATGCACATTCTGCCTATGCACAACATCCTGAACCCACACTGGGAGAAATTCCCACAAAACAGGGATGTCCCTGTCCTTTTAGGGAAGGGAGACCCAGTGGGATGGATCCTCATCTGACCTCTTTGCATCATGCTAAGGAAGTTAAAACCCAGAGGCTCATTTACACCAACTGAGTTACCCAGTTAGCATCTTGGGAGCCATTTGGAGGACAATGATATTTATCTTATCAGGTTCTTCCTCCAGTTTGTGTTGTTTTAGCCCCTTTAATTACTGCTGGCACGATCCAATGCTAAAATCCTTCGGCAAACAGCCAAGGAAATCAACACCACTTTGCCTAAGTAAAAGCTGGATATGAATCCTACAAGGAAAGACTCAACAGCTACTCGATGCCTTCCAGTTCTGGCTCCCAACTTAAAAACCACAGAGCATTGCTTCCCTGGAAACATTGGGAAAACCTGGTTGAAGAAGTAAGAAAGGAACTAGCAGGGAGGGAAGCTGCATTGAAACAGCAGAGAAGCTCTAGATAACCCTAAATTGTCCTCACTAAGTTTGTCCAGCTCAGGAGTCCCAGATTTGAACCAAACTGGCTCTATTTCCATCAGTTCAGGGATGGGTGGAAGCCTGACCCACTCCAGCTGTTGGAGCAGCTCAGGCAGTGTGAGCACAGCTCTCATTCCTCCTGCCCAGAGCTATGTATTACAGCTGCTTAAGCTCCTCTGATGTTGTGAGGTCTTAGTTTGGACTTAAAGCAGCTTAAATCCTTGTGTTGTTTTGAGAAAGCTAGAACTGGAGAGTTCCAAAAGCACCTCAAGCAGCTTAATAGGGACTAGAAGTGATTTCCCATTCAAATTTAAAGAGGGAAAATCATTTTTTGGGAACATCTATTAACATATGTTGAAGGAGTAAAAGCAAAATGTAGGGAACTGAAGCATTAGGATTCCTGGGAAAATGATGCTGTCTGTAGTGGGGATACATCCTGCTTTCTATTTCTTCTATTAAAACTGATCAATTTATCAATAACAAAAATCCAAGTGAAACAAACCCAAGTGGACTCAGTATCAAGGCAACACCTGACACAGTCACAGCTTCCCAGGCCTTATTCCTCTCTTAAAACAATATGCAAGGAGAGCAACAGCTACTCTGGAAGTAGAAAATTCCCAATCTG